GAGCTGACGACCAGGAAGTTTGACGCGGAGGCTTTGAAGGAAGCGGTTCAGTCTTCAGGGGACAAGGAGCTGATCGAGGAACTTTCTAGGGGAAACATAAAGGCTCGCCGTTATCCAGCTGTGAGGGCAAAGAACGCCATTCGTGACCGCATCATCAAGATCGAATTGCCCTCACAGGCTCTGAGGGATAGACTGCTACATCACATGAGGTCAGGGCGCCAGAGCCTAACTAAGCATTTCGTCCATTCCTACGCACGCCGAGACTACACAGAAGAAGAACTGGAGCTGGATCGGGCGTTGCGCAAGCAGGCGGGAATGTCGAATGCTAAACTGGGCAAGCTTAAGTTTGTGGTTCGCGACCTCAAGATATGCGAGCTAAAAAATCCCAGGGAGCTTCCAACAACGCTCGCCCTCTTCGTTTCATGAAGTACCGGCACCCTCCTCAGAGACTCTGACTGGATCTATGGATGCTGCTTCGCAGTGCTCTGCCTATCATTCACCGTCCCCATAGGGCCAGGCGTCTCAGTTGCACAGGCCAGAATGCGCTCCTGATCATAACCGTCAATTTATCAACAAGTTCCTTCTCTTCAATGCTCGATCCTTGAATAACAAGCTTCCCGAACTCTATCTTTTACTGTCTCGTAAGCCTTCTGGTCTGTTCATAACTGAGACGTGGTGCAAACCATACAAGGTCAATGATAGAACCTGTCTGCCGAATACCCCTTCCACGTGTATCGTTGCGATAGGGATGGAGATACCCCTGGTGGTGGTGCAGTAGCCTTGGTCAGAAATGATATTCCTTCCTCCCTAATATCATCACTCAACTTCTCAATTTACCTACAATGTGTGGTTGTGAGGATAACCCTCTCCGACAATGACTGTGTCCTCGCTTTCTGCTACAGGAGCCCATCGTGTTCAAGCAAAGATTTTGATAGGTTCTGCTTTACTTTGAAGAACTGTGTGAGGATCGTTTGCCTCTCATCATCCTCGGAGATTTCAACTTTTTCGACATTCCGTGGGCTCGATTGGAACAAGGTTCAAGCATGAAGGGCCTTAGTAAGCAAAGTTCTCTTTTTCTGAACTTTCTTAACTCGCACAACTTTCACTCAGATAGTGCTTGAGCCCACACGTAACCGTAGTACCTTGGATCTCGTTCTTACTAATAGCCCTTCCTCTCATTGGTAGCTAATTCTGTTCAGGCTCCTTTTTCGACATCGGATCATGCTACGGTGGCTTTTTCTTTTTCTAAAAGTAATTCCGAATACCTCCAAAGTTTTGCCTTCGATTTTGCTAAAGGGGACTACACATCTATTTGCCGCCTCCTTCTTTCAATTGAATGGCACCATGTTTTTGACTCTATTGAAAAAATTGATGACTGCTATTTCATTTTTGTTGACTTCTGTCATTCCTTGATTTCTAATTTCATTCCGCTCCGTCGTAAGGCCAGCGGATCTTTGAATCTTCCTCCTTACCTAAAAGCACTCCAGACTAAAGTGAAGCAACTGTATAAAAATGGGAACTGCGTGCGTAGTCCGCGCTATCTTTACTTGTCCCGTCTACTTTAAAGGAAACTAGATAGACTAAAACTCAAGCATGAAGAACGTATTGCTCCTGTAATAACACGAAAAGGTTCTGGAGCTACTGTAATGCGAGGCTCAAGGATTCCTCGTCTATAGGCACTATTTTATCGCCTAGCGGAGCAGTATGTAAATCTGACTCTGACAAAGCTCGGGTTTTTGCGGAGTATTTTCGAACTTTTTATAAGGATGAAAGTGCACTACCGGTAGACGATGTTACATTACCTGATACCACTCTAGACTGGATTGATTTCAACCACTACAACGTTTTCCGTGCTCTTAAAAAACTTCCCTTACGCCATTCAACCTCACCAGACGGTCTGCCTTACATATTTCTCAAGAAGGCCGCTGATGGTGTCACTCCTGCGTTGACATACTTTTCAATAGAATACTTTTGAAAGGTGAGGTACCTGCGATCTGGCGCTTGGGGCTGGTGAGGCCAATACATAAAAAAGGAAGTAAGAGTGACTTCAAGAACTATAGACCTGTTTGCCTCACTTCATCTGTTAGCAAAGTAATGGAAAGGATAGTGTGCGAACAACTTAGGAATTTTCTTTCATCTAAGCGTATTTTATCGCCATGCCAGCATGGTTTCATTCCAAAAAAGTCGACTGCATCAGCGCTTCTTTCTGTTATACCGAAATGGCAGCATGCTGTCGACAAAAAGAAATCTGTTTTTGCAGCTTACGTGGATTTTTCGAAAGCTTTCGACACTGTACCATTGCATCTTTTATTCGTCAAATTGAGGCGTGTTGGAATAACCGGCTGTCTCCTCAATTTATAAGTCGTTCCTTTCTAACAGGCATCAGCGAGTAGTCCTTAACGGTTCTTGTTCCGAGATATACCGTACTGGCAGTGGTGTCCCTCAAGGCTCTTGCTTGGGACCCTTGCTTTTCGTTCTGTACGTCAATGATTTGCCAGGGTGTCTCCCCTCCGGGGTTTTGTGCACTATGTATGCCGATGACGTCAAGATTTACTGTACTGATCATCCTTCTTCATTACAAGCTGCGCTTGATCGGAATGGGCTAATAGATGGGGGCTAGGCATTTCTGTTGAGAAAACAGTATGTTTGCGATTAGGACCTCCCTCCCCGTGCTCTCCCAGATTCACAATTAATGGCTTTGAGCTCAAAGAACCTGATGTCGTTTGCGATCTGGGCATTTCTTATTCGCGCTCCCTGTGTTTCAATGAATATATTGTCAGAGTGGTTCACTCAGCGCACTGCAGAGCAAACTTCATTCTGCGCGCTTTTTCTTCAAGAAAGTGAGAACGCTATTCCAGCTTTTTGCCACCTATGTTCGCCCCATATTGGAATACTGCCCTATGTTGTGGAGTCCCTTCACTCGTTCTATGGTTGAACTCATTGAGAGAGTTCAAGCTAAGTTCACTGAGCGAATCTTCGCTCGTAAAGGTTTGTTTCACGTACCTTACAAGGACAGAAAGTATCTCAAGGAGGACTCTCTGGAATTCAGACGTAAACTATATGATTATGAATTTATTTACAAGCTTTCTCTGGATTGGTAGACCTGGATTTTGATGCTCTTTTCAAAAGCTCTAACAATTGGTCGTACTAGGGGTCATAGCTATAGAATTCTAAGGGAAAAAACTAATTCACAGAATTTCGAAGTTCTTTCACACAAAGGGTAATCACTCTCTGGAATGAATTACCACCTTCTGTCATTAACTCTAGTTCTTCTAGTTCGTTCAGAAGCAAAGTGAGAAAGATTATGGTTTCTCGGGGTTGGTTCTGATCATAAGAATATGAAACTGAACTTTTATCACAATTAAGAGGCAGAGAAGCGATCATTGAATTCGTGATATGGAGTGTATTAATATTAATATTAATGGTTGTTTTGCTGGCCGTAATTTTGTTCTAATTTCCTTTTGTTGTTCTGTTTGCTCTCTGTTGGTCAGCTTTTCCCTTTTGAGACTTCTGGGAGTCGGATCTTGGCAAAGTTGGCGGACCTACTAAGCTGGTATCCGGAGCTCTCATTCGCCACTCAGGAGCTTGCAGTGTTGGCGGCCACTGCCCTTCTGCGCCGACTATCCACTCCCTTCCCCATATCCCCTTATTTGATGGTTTTTCCTTTCATTTTTTTTTCTTCTTACTTATCGGAAATTTGCTTTGTAATTGTTTTGCCACTTATTGTAGAAGTATATCCGATAATAATAAATCATAAATCCAGAGGAACAGGCTAATTTTGATAACCTTGGATGAAATTCAAAGTCACAGATCGATGGTCGATGGGAAGGCCCTAATCAAAACCAGATCTAGTAGTGATTTGGCATCCCTTACTCTGAGACAAATTTGATAACTCCAATTTAATAACACGGTCATTCAGGATTAGTAATCATCCTCTAGGGAACCTCACAAATGTCATTAAAATAGTAGCGACTCGTTCTCGTCGGGACTTGCAAGTGTTGACGTATGAAAGATAACACAGAACCACACTGAAGAGTTTTAACCGGAACTTTCATCTATACGTCAAATAAGACCCCCCCCCCTCCCCACGTCAATGGGGTTCATTTGGTACGTTCAAGTACTGAGTATGTCTGCTCTAGGGAAGTCTTGTCTGCTCTTGTTGTCAACTTAGGTAAGGCTCTCTTCACAGTGGATCTTTCATTTACGAGAGCATGAGGTGTATCGCGACCACTGCCCGGAGGTGCTTAGTGGCACTTATTTCGAAGAATGATGAACGACGTGCAACAAGCAAACGATCTCCCTATTACAAAGCTTTGAATCAACTGTTAAACAAATTTTTGAACAAAACATTCATTGAACTCGTTTTTTTAAATCATGAAATGATAAGCTTAAAGCATTATTGGTTTTCTAGAATCGAAAAGAGTGACTCACTAATACATGTACAGTGTTACTTGAAATATATGCAATACAAAACATGGCAATCATGATGAAGAATCCTGGGTGAAGCATTAGTAAAATTACTCAACGAAGATTCACTCTGGCAACGATCTCATGCAATCTGAAATAAACCAGATATCTCCTTCGTAACAGTGGTACTGAATCGTTGGATGATAATCCTAGCGTAGCGAAGCTTCAGGCATCCTTGACTTTGATACATTGAATAAGCTATAACGTAACGGGGTGTGGTTTGCTAGGACAAAAAGCGATTATCCAGCTCTTCGCAGCGCAGTATGGAACCGTAAATGCACCACTTATCACAAGTTAACCTTGTTTTCTGGTAGACCATGTTATATGGTGACAATGAAATCATTTAAGTACTACACCTTTCGTCAGTGTGTCAACCTCATCTAAAGTGATTTTTTCGGTCCATTTTATATTTCACCCCCTTGTTATCGATGAGCTAATTTTGAGAGTCAGTCTTACCTGTACATCTGTCGCTCCCCCCCCCCCCGGGTAATTTTGAGAGTCAGTCCTAATCGAAGTAGTAAGCGTGCCACACCACCCAAGTACAAATCAAAACCGAACGTTTCATGTATGTACAAGCGGGAATGAATATGTCTGAAAAGGAAATTAGAAAAAATGAATCCATCTACTATTATTTCATATAAATTAGAAAGAGTGTGACGCCATCAAATGAGGAACTTTTTAGCTATTAATCTTAGCTAAGTATATTTACTTCGACGGATTGATGCGCCACACCGCAGCCCACTTATTGAGATGAGGTCTACTCAGAACCCTATTCCCTATTGAATTTCTTTGAAATTTTAGTGTTAAGAAGAAGTAGACTGATTTATGTCGATGACATGGATAAGATCCGAAGTTACGGACATACATCCATCATAGAACACTAGACTAGGAAGGAAAGTTACAAGAAGCCTCGGGGAAGTTCCATCATCATCATGAAAACTCGAAAACAATTTCCAGAATTTGGTTGATGTGGGTTTACGAAAACATGCGAATCAAAACTCTATTGAGAATCGCACTCCCATTCAAAATACAAGAAAAGGGGGCGGGTCAAAAGCTCTTTATCAAATGAAAACCTTGTTCTTGATCAAAACGGTGGACCCTGATTAAAAAAACATTTTTTGCAAGTGATTCAAAACCTGGCGGTTAAAAGGAACAACGATAGAGGGCTACAAAGAGTACGAACACGTATTAGAGCAGATAGATACCAATATACACAAAACCACAAACACCAAAAACCACTTCGAAACTCAACACTTCAATAACGCATAGAAAGAATTGAAGAAATGGAAGAAAATGAATATTGTGGATAGAAGCAAACTGTACCTCTTTGCAAAGATTTGAATCATCTATCGATCATGTTACGCAAGTATTATGGAACCATTAACCTGAACACGAAAACATCATTTGCATTCACGAACATTGGATCAAAGATTGTGCATTTTCCACTCATGTGGCCTAACCCATGATTGCCAAACTTTGAAACAGGTATTCCACCCAACTAAACACGAGAGGGAGCCTAAAATCGCTAATAAGAAATAAACTTCTTACTGATGCAGAAGAGGCCGATTAGCGCGATCACAAAGCATTTCAAGTACAGTCGATATCCGAAAGTTGGGGTAGGCGTGTCACCGGAAGTGACGTGCACTTGATAGAAGTTGCGTGGATAAGCTGTTGCCAGCATGCTTTGCTGATATCCAGCGATGTATGTTGGAAGCAGCTTATCCACATAGATTCTATCAAGTGCACGTCACTTCCGGTGACACGCCTACCCCAACTTACGGATCTCGAGTATATATCTTGAGGTTTTTCGCTTTGAATGATGTAGGATATATTAGCAATTTACAATGTCATCGAACGTACCCGTGACATTGCTACCGAAAGAGAAACTTTTCATCTAGTCGATCCCATTCCACGTGACCATCCAGCCACATCCAGACAAACTGAAACAAGACGCTTGCTTCAAGCACGTTGTGAAGATCCTCATAACATGTACTAAATGAAAAGCGATAGGAGAGAATTCTCAGAGGGAGTAGAATGCGTGAAGGATTCTATGCCGTCATTCTATAAGGTAGCATCGCGCTCCATAGCCTCATACACTCCGGATTCACGAAACGCCCTATAGGAAATTTTGGAGAGTGGATGCAAATGGGAAAAAGGTTACGTAATCATCATTGTTCCGTCGCAGGACCCACTGGGCAGGAGCCTCACCTCTGATTTTGCAGCCTTGCTTTCATTCTTTCACTTTTTTGGTGCTCAATCCACCATATAATCAATAATAGAAAAGGATCGGAAAAGGGCTGCAAAATCACAGGTGCGACTGTGGCCAAGTGGGTCCTGCGAAAGGGAAAACTTCCAAGTCTTTCCCCATCCCTCCCTCCACAACATTTTAAAGGAACCAAGGGAAGGGCTGCACCAACTGCAACATAGCGCAGCATCAAGTATAGATGCTGCGCAGTCTGCAATAAGCCAACCGTATAACAGCATATGAAACTGACTGCTTAGAAATGATAAAGCCAGAAAGGGTACAATCTAACCTAGAACGACTCTCTAGGACTTGATTTACCAGGACAGAAAGCGACTTTTTCGCTAGTCTAGCGTAGAACTGGAGTTCCCGCAGCAAAGAATGTTTCGCAAGCAAATCGCGAAAATGTCGCTTTCTGTCCTAGTAAATCAGACCCTAATACCTATCATAGTTGAGAAAGAAGAACAAAGAATAAACAGCAAGGTTCCCGAAGAATCATGAATGTGCAAAGCCAATATGGAAGAAACCCTTTTAAAGAAAACTGATATCTTCTCGAAATGATAACAACCGAATCCTTCTCCAAAGAAAAAAGTAAGATCTACTCACTTCTCTTCTTCCTCGACGTAAAGCCAGCAAGCGTACTCGTCAAGTTCGTAAACTCTGTACCTGCAATAGAGCAACTTCAAAACACCTTCTAGTCTAATGCTATCCTCCGTTAACTTTAATGAAAACCTCTACATTATGCTAACGAAGATTATCTTTGTGTTATAGTATACTCACTTAGGCAATATCTGATATAGCCACACGATTGGTCTACGCACGTATCACACATCATAACTCCTTGAGCCATGCTGAAGAACCAGAAGTCAACAAATTTCAATGAATCGCCCGGTCAGTTTTCCTTTGCAAGATACAGTTTACCCGCGTTGTCCCCCCCAACCCACTTAGCGCCAAAAAAACGTTCTGGAATCCTAGCGACTCACACACGTATGCCGTTAATGTCGAAAAGAGAACACA